CATGGGGCTTCCAGATGTGAAGAGATGTCTGAGGATGACAATTACATTGGACCCTTGATAGGGAAGAAAAAGGGGAGCAAAGGATGAGTTGTTGAGGGATTCAGGAAATATAGGAATGGTCACAGAAGATAGTAAAAATCAATAAGCCAAGTGATTACCAACAGAAGAAGATAATGGGATTGGGAGGGATGCAGATAGGAGCTGAAAGAAGTCTAGAAGCAGAGGGTAGAAGCAGAAGGGAGGGTGATAATCTGTAGGAAATGTGGGTTCACAAGGGACAAATCAGGGTTAATGATGGAAAAAGATGAGCACAGACAGGGGACAAACCAGAGGCTGGTCCTTACTCATCAGATTGAAGTCTGTAACCTTCTCCTGAGCTGAGTTGCCACAATAGTTCCTCTGAGCCACACTACTCAGAGGTGGCCACTCCCCTGGGACAAGGACCTGGGTTGCTGCTGCTTCAGTCTTCACTGATGTCTAAAAAGGCAGAAAATGGCCTCTCAGTCTTCACTATGGTAAGGAAAAGGGGTCCAGTTGGATACCACTTTGTAGACCAGCAGTACCAAAGCCTCAGTAGGGACATGCTCTCTCTGAAGGTCTAGGTCCTTCTTATAAGGACACCATTTAGGGCCCATCCTAACCTAGGTTCTAACTTGGACCTCATCTTAATTTGATTGTATCTACAGAGACTCTAGTTCCAAATCAGATCACATTCATAGGTGGCTGGGGTTAGAACTTCAACATATCTTTTGGGGGAGAATGATTCATCTCACAACACCATCTTAGCCCTACTTCAATTAAGGTCATCTCTCTCTCTGTTTCTGCTCTTCTTTTATTTGATTCAACACTCATTTTCATTCTACTGTCCACCCACACTCTCATTTTCCCATACTTCTTATCTTCTTATTCCTCCTTAAGTCAAATTTATTGATTATACATCAAGGCAAACATTTAACTATTTTGTTATTTCTTCTGGTATAATCATGTCCAAACATTTGCATTTTGAAATACACACTACTTTTTTTTATAAGTTACTTTTTATTTGTTTCTCCATTATATTACATTCTAAATAATTATAGTGATTTTAAAAATATGTACAGTAAGTTTTATTTTCTATAAATTTCTTTTCAGGAGGGTAAAAGATTTGTTAACAACAGGAGGCTCTGTTCTTAACAAAGGAGGGCCTGAGAGGACTAAGAACCAATTAGAAGCCACAGGAAAGGACTGAGAAAGAGGGGAACTCCATGAAGACTGTCTTGAGAGAACTGATTTAACAGCAGAGTTTGTAGATGGGAGGCTTAATTGTTTTTTAACTAAATGACTAGGAAACTGATTGAACCACTGAGAGAATTAAAAAAAAAGAATCCATTTTGTGAAGAAGATGTAAAATTTCATCTTGGATACACAGAATTTCCATGACCATCACAAATAATAACTGGGTATGTGCAAAACACTGGGAATACCAATGAGTGTGGGGAAGAGTCTTGGTTCTTAGGCTGAGGAGAGAAATCCATGGCCCCCAAACAAAAAACACTCATTAAGCATCAAATGAGAGGAGGCACTTTCTGAAACCAAGGCTTGCTCTCTGCCTTGCTCTCACACCTTGAGATTTGGACATTTCTCCTAAACATGCTACAGAATGAGGCAAAAGTATGTATTCAATGAGCTCCTTGGATGAGGCAGAGGGTCTGTGCTACCTGAAAGGTACTCAGGGGTGAGGAGTATGAGCCAAGAGAGTAAGGAAGGTGGCCAGGGAGGAGGACTGCTACTGAAGTTCCCATAAGCCTGGGCACCCTGCTTACCTGGGAGCTGGCTGAATTAGACTCAGGTACTTCTATCTTGTCTCTGGGATTTTCTTCCTGGAGGGGGGCTGTTCCCTGAGAAGCAGGCCCTATGGAGGGAGGAGACAAAAGTCCTGAGTGAGACACAGTCTTAAGGAGTGCCCATTGTGGGGCACTGTCACAGCCCCCCAATCCTCTTATGCTTGTTAAACATCCAGGAACTGAGATACAGATCTCACTAAGACAGAGCATCACAGCTGTTTTCACTCTTTTGAGAATTCTGCAATTCTAAAACTTCAGGGTCACACCCACAAAACTGAGTGGTGTTTATGAACTCATAAGGTGCTTTACAGTTATGCAATTTCACACACATAAAGCCAATTTAAAAATCACAGATGAAAATAAAGAGAGGAGAGGAAGAAGCTGGTGATGAAGGATTAACCAGAGAACACATAAATGAAGTGGCAAAAAGAGACAAGGCAAAGGGGAAACAGGAAAGCAGAAAAAGATGAAAAGAGAGGAAATAAAGATATAAATAAATAAAAAGAGCTATTAAATAATGCAGGAGGCTATGCACGTGTGGGAGCAAGAGGGCATCAGGGAAATCTCTGAACCTTCAGTTTTGCTGTGAAACTAAAACTTCTCTAAAAAATAGTCATACATGATAGTCATGAGCTAGAAGACCTTGTGAGGTTCTGCACCATTTTAACTCTGAATTAAGACACAGAACATTATTTCTCTTTGTTTGGTGGGGCTTGGCTCAGATGAACTTGATAAAAAATTTTACTTCTCTTTTTGAGCTTCAAGACACTCCTATTTTAACTGAGATTTAGCAAACCGTTTCCGGAGGATGAACAAATGACGATCAGGAGAATCTCCACACTCCACCCTGCTCTTCAGTCTAATTACCCCCTGTTGTTTCCTTTTTCCTCTTTTCTTGTCTCTTAAGGAGTTAATGGCCTCATGAGAAGCCAACCCTCTGCTTGCGACCTGGCTCCTCCCTTTCTGCTTTGGGAGTATCTCGGCCACACATTCACTCATTCCACAACCAATACTTACTCAGCACCTACCACCATCTTTAATTTCTCTTCTTCATCAGCTACTTTTCTTTTTGATTCTTGTTCAGAATTCCCCTACTGGTGATTGAAAATACCTTTCTTGTCCCCCCAAGTCCTCTTCCAGCTCTGCTGACGTTCTTCTCTTACCCATCAGTAGCCCTCATTATCGTCTAAATTCTCTACCTTCTCTTATTCTGCCTTTTCTGGCTTCTCTATATCTCGTTCCACAAAAGGGAGCCCAGAAGGGAAATCAGGCAGGGAAGACTGAGTCAGGATAGGATTCCTGGAGGCAACTGTGCACCAACTGAAGGTTTTACATAATGATTGTATACTAACAGGTCACCTTCTTGGAATGGAGCCTCCTTTGATCACAGAAGTAGAGTGGTACCCTTCTTGTATTATTCCGGGGAAGCAGCTTTTGACCAGTTGGTTTCTCTGGTTCTGTTTCAATTTCTTCTGACATCTGCAGGATTTGTTCCACTTAGGATCACAGACACTTACCTGTTGGGTATTCCTGAGGCCTCAGAACCTTGTTCCATTTCTTCAGAAGTTTCTTGCTTTGCATTAAACAATCCATCTTTAGTTACAACTTCTTCAGCTAAAATAATACATTAATAATTTAAATGTCATCTGTTGCCTGAATTTAGAAAAAATAATCTCCAGGGTAGGGAATAGGATGTTCCAAATTAAAACAATCACTCAATCAACAGGTGTCCCAGAAGTGCAATCAAAGCAGTCCTACAAAATGTGACACAGTATGGAAAGAGAGTAAGGAAGGTCAATTAGCTAAGTTAGGAAAAGGTCTTACAGGGCAAAGCATACATAAAGAAAAGTATACATGGTAATAATGTCTTTGAGAGTGAAAAGAACTTCCTTTGACACAAGGAAGAAGGGATTAGGCAGAGGAGTTCATGGGGCTTCCAGATGTGAAGAGATGTCTGAGGATGACAATTACATTGGACCCTTGATAGGGAAGAAAAAGGGGAGCAAAGGATGAGTTGTTGAGGGATTCAGGAAATATAGGAATGGTCACAGAAGATAGTAAAAATCAATAAGCCAAGTGATTACCAACAGAAGAAGATAATGGGATTGGGAGGGATGCAGATAGGAGCTGAAAGAAGTCTAGAAGCAGAGGGTAGAAGCAGAAGGGAGGGTGATAATCTGTAGGAAATGTGGGTTCACAAGGGACAAATCAGGGTTAATGATGGAAAAAGATGAGCACAGACAGGGGACAAACCAGAGGCTGGTCCTTACTCATCAGATTGAAGTCTGTAACCTTCTCCTGAGCTGAGTTGCCACAATAGTTCCTCTGAGCCACACTACTCAGAGGTGGCCACTCCCCTGGGACAAGGACCTGGGTTGCTGCTGCTTCAGTCTTCACTGATGTCTAAAAAGGCAGAAAATGGCCTCTCAGTCTTCACTATGGTAAGGAAAAGGGGTCCAGTTGGATACCACTTTGTAGACCAGCAGTACCAAAGCCTCAGTAGGGACATGCTCTCTCTGAAGGTCTAGGTCCTTCTTATAAGGACACCATTTAGGGCCCATCCTAACCTAGGTTCTAACTTGGACCTCATCTTAATTTGATTGTATCTACAGAGACTCTAGTTCCAAATCAGATCACATTCATAGGTGGCTGGGGTTAGAACTTCAACATATCTTTTGGGGGAGAATGATTCATCTCACAACACCATCTTAGCCCTACTTCAATTAAGGTCATCTCTCTCTCTGTTTCTGCTCTTCTTTTATTTGATTCAACACTCATTTTCATTCTACTGTCCACCCACACTCTCATTTTCCCATACTTCTTATCTTCTTATTCCTCCTTAAGTCAAATTTATTGATTATACATCAAGGCAAACATTTAACTATTTTGTTATTTCTTCTGGTATAATCATGTCCAAACATTTGCATTTTGAAATACACACTACTTTTTTTTATAAGTTACTTTTTATTTGTTTGTCCATTATATTACATTCTAAATAATTATAGTGATTTTAAAAATATGTACAGTAAGTTTTATTTTCTATAAATTTCTTTTCAGGAGGGTAAAAGATTTGTTAACAACAGGAGGCTCTGTTCTTAACAAAGGAGGGCCTGAGAGGACTAAGAACCAATTAGAAGCCACAGGAAAGGACTGAGAAAGAGGGGAACTCCATGAAGACTGTCTTGAGAGAACTGATTTAACAGCAGAGTTTGTAGATGGGAGGCTTAATTGTTTTTTAACTAAATGACTAGGAAACTGATTGAACCACTGAGAGAATTAAAAAAAAAGAATCCATTTTGTGAAGAAGATGTAAAATTTCATCTTGGATACACAGAATTTCCATGACCATCACAAATAATAACTGGGTATGTGCAAAACACTGGGAATACCAATGAGTGTGGGGAAGAGTCTTGGTTCTTAGGCTGAGGAGAGAAATCCATGGCCCCCAAACAAAAAACACTCATTAAGCATCAAATGAGAGGAGGCACTTTCTGAAACCAAGGCTTGCTCTCTGCCTTGCTCTCACACCTTGAGATTTGGACATTTCTCCTAAACATGCTACAGAATGAGGCAAAAGTATGTATTCAATGAGCTCCTTGGATGAGGCAGAGGGTCTGTGCTACCTGAAAGGTACTCAGGGGTGAGGAGTATGAGCCAAGAGAGTAAGGAAGGTGGCCAGGGAGGAGGACTGCTACTGAAGTTCCCATAAGCCTGGGCACCCTGCTTACCTGGGAGCTGGCTGAATTAGACTCAGGTACTTCTATCTTGTCTCTGGGATTTTCTTCCTGGAGGGGGGCTGTTCCCTGAGAAGCAGGCCCTATGGAGGGAGGAGACAAAAGTCCTGAGTGAGACACAGTCTTAAGGAGTGCCCATTGTGGGGCACTGTCACAGCCCCCCAATCCTCTTATGCTTGTTAAACATCCAGGAACTGAGATACAGATCTCACTAAGACAGAGCATCACAGCTGTTTTCACTCTTTTGAGAATTCTGCAATTCTAAAACTTCAGGGTCACACCCACAAAACTGAGTGGTGTTTATGAACTCATAAGGTGCTTTACAGTTATGCAATTTCACACACATAAAGCCAATTTAAAAATCACAGATGAAAATAAAGAGAGGAGAGGAAGAAGCTGGTGATGAAGGATTAACCAGAGAACACATAAATGAAGTGGCAAAAAGAGACAAGGCAAAGGGGAAACAGGAAAGCAGAAAAAGATGAAAAGAGAGGAAATAAAGATATAAATAAATAAAAAGAGCTATTAAATAATGCAGGAGGCTATGCATGTGTGGGAGCAAGAGGGCATCAGGGAAATCTCTGAACCTTCAGTTTTGCTGTGAAACTAAAACTTCTCTAAAAAATAGTCATACATGATAGTCATGAGCTAGAAGACCTTGTGAGGTTCTGCCAGGTTGGAAGCTGCTGATCCCAAAGGAACCAACAAAAATCAAACCATCATGGGGACTGTGATGTCAGGCACTGTGCTGTCAAGTAAGAGTATTTCTAATACTCACATCAACCCTAAGAATCTAAATCATCTCCATTTATCCTAGGAAAATTCAGAGCTCAGAACTAAGCAAAGCATGTAGAAGTCAGAGAGATACTTGTTGAATGACTGCCTAACTGAATGACCAGTTACATAACCTGCACCAGGTCACACTGCGGGCAGGGGGCAGAGCTGGGACTCTGAAGGACTCTCTAAGTCCTTCCTCTCTGCTATGACTTTTCTTTCTGGTCTCTGTTCCTCCTGTTCTGCAGCTTCTTTCAGTTGCAGGACACCAGGAATAGGGGATAATGTGTGCTGCAAGCGGCTCCCCAAGCCTCCAGTTTACACTGCCTTTCAGCCATTGGGCTCTCTAGTTCCTCCTGGTTTCTCTCAGGCATACAGGCTTAGCTCTGGCTGGCTTAGTATAGAAAGTGAAGAATTCCAGTTCCAAGCCTACTGGCCTCCAGCAAAGCACAGGCCTGCTTTTGAAACACACAGAATGAAAAGTCAGGGATCACACCACTCAGATGCCAAACTACTGTATATCACAACGTGAAACACTGTGCCACTATCTCCTCCTCCTAAAATTGCTCTAATGCCTAAGCATCTAAAATTCCAGATAATAAAAAATTGCATCCCTTGGAAAATGGGAAGGGCAATTTTGCAAACCACCTTCAGCTAAGAAGCACTAGAAATACTACAAATCAGAGCTAGTGTCTGATGAGACTCTGGGTTAATTTTTTTTATAGTATCATGTAATCAACAATTACATGAAGAACATTATGTTTATTAGGCTCCCCCATTCACCAAGACCCCCACACAAACCCCATTACAATCACTGTTCATCAGCGTAGTAAGATGTGTAGATTCACTACTTGTCTTCTCTGTGTTGCACAGCCCTCCCGGTGCCCCCCCCCCCATTACACATGCTAATCGTACTACACCCTTTTTCCCCACCCTTATCCATCCCTTCCCACCCATCCTCCTTAGTTCATTTCCCTTTGGTAACTGTTAGTCCATTCTTGAGTTCTGTGATTGTGCTGCTGTTTTTTTCCTTCAGTTTTTCTTTGTTCTTATAGTCCACATATGAGTGAAATCATTTGGTACTTGTCTCTCTCCACCTGGCTTATTTCACTGAGCATAATACCCCACAATAGCTCCATTCATGTTGTTGCAAATGGTAGTATTTGTTTTCTTCTTATGGCTGAATAATATTCCATTGTGTATATGTACAACATCTTCTTTATCCATTCATCTACTGATGGACATTTAGGTTGCTTCCATTTCTTGGCTATTGTAAATAGTGCTGC